TGATGGTCTCTTGGAGTCAAAAGGAATGACATTTTTTCCCTTCAAATTGGTGCTTTTAAAATCCTGCACCTATCCTAAACCTTCACTGTTCTCTGTTTTCTGTCCATTTTGAATATATAGTTGGAACTTCCTGACAATGCAATTTCTGGAGGCTTGGAAGTTTTAGCAGAGAAATGCCCAAATCTTACCTACCTCAATCTGAGTGGAAACAAAATCAAAGATCTGAGTACAGTAGAAGCTCTGGTAAGTGGAAAGGTTTGTCTCTGACTTTTTTCCCCTGAGATTTATTTGTGTTTTATATTGTGAATTTTGTATTTTACTTCTAAAGTTAGGAGGAGAGTTTGGATAGCCTTGAATTCAGTATGTAGCCTGGACCAGGTTCAAATTCTCAGAGATCCTCCTGCCTCAGCCTCCTGAGTGCTAGGATTACTATAGGAATGCACCTGCACATGTGGCTTCTTTTTCATCCTTGAAACTTCTGAAATATATGTGTATTTCAGGGCTTGGGTTTAAGTTTGCTTTTTTTTTTTTTTTGGTGGAACCGGGGATTGAACTCAGTCCTTTGCGCTTGCCAGGGAAGCACTTATTCCACTGAGCCATCTCCCTGGACCCCTTAAGTTTGCTTTTTTGAGACAGGATCTTACCTTATAATTCAGGTTGGCTTTGAATTTTTAGGGTAGCCCATGCTGACCTCCAACTTGTGGCAGTCCTATCTCAGCTTTTTGAGTATTGGGATTGTGGACAAGCATTACTGTGCCCAGCTGAATCTTATATATTGAGATCTAGACAGTTAACTGGTTTTCTTTCCTTTGGAGTAAGATACATAGAAGATTTTTTTTTTTTTTTTTGTATGAGTTCATGTTCTCTATTTTTTCTTTTTTAACAAGAGTACACAATAGTATTAAAACAGAAAAATTACAAGTGACACAATTTACTTAACAAAATAATATGAATTACACAGTATTTGTCATAATGCAGTGTTGTCTTCCAATAGAAGATGTATTTATTTATTTGTTTGTTTATTTATTTATGATGGTACTAGGGATCTGGGGCCTTTGCAGTGACCTCTATCCTCAACCCATTTTTTTGGGGTGCAGGGCAATTAATTTTATTTTTTGAGACATGTAGCCCAGGCTGTCCTCGAACTTGTGTTGATGAACTTCCTGCCCCAGCCTCCCTAGTGCTGGGTTGTAGGTAGAGTGTGCCACCCTACCTGGCTGCTTTTTGAAATTTTGAACAGGTTTCCCCAGCTTGCTGACTCGCCCAGTCTGGCCTTGAACTTGCAACCTTACTGTTGTAGCTTCCAGAGTTAGAAATGACAGGTGGCAGCTGCTATACCTGGCCTGAAGGTGTTTTGTCTTGCTGGGATAGTACTAGGTCTTCATGCAGACTAGACAAGTGCTTGCCAGTTACTGACCTATGCCCAGCTCCAGATGAAATTTTATTTTATTATTATTATTATTATCATTATTATTTTTTT